AAAGCAGAAATGGTTAGGGGCAATCAGGCAGGCAAGTTGTTGGGAGCCAGCAGTCCTGGATTGTGAAAGGGATGTCCAACTGCTGGACATCCTATGGGATTGGGCCTAAACTGGCAGTCAAACATCCCCTAAGGGGTCCCAGATTGGAGAAGGTGCAGGCTGGGCTGAGGGACACTCCCCTCTCCCAGTGCACAAATTTCATGCAACAGTCCTCTGGTTCAAGTTATAAAAGTGGAAAAAACGTTCTTTAATTTTCTCACTATTTTCTGGCAGGATTTGTTTTATACTTTATATGAGAAAGAAATGTGTGTTACAGGTTTAAAAGTCTATATTTATGGAATTTTCAAACCACATAAGAGCTTCAAACCCAACTATTGCCATGAATAACCTCAGACATGTATTACAGAATCTTTTCATATTGCCCTCCCCCACGCCCCAGATATTATGTACGTAACCCTGTCAATGGATGGCATTAGTTTGTTTCCTTAATGAACCTACATTTTTTATTTTGTAGTTACAATAATGTGTAAATTCCATGTATAGTAAATCTTCAGTCCAGCCAATGTCAGTATCATTGCAAATTGTGGGGTCCAATTAGATAAAGATTTGCAACATTTTAAAAATCCAGTCTAAAGGCTGTACATGATGTTACTCTTTTAGAACAAATTATAGTCATAAAAAGCACATACAATTAAATTTTTAGTTCATTTTCCATTCCCTGATTAAGAAAACTTTTATCTATTATTTCAATACTACCCTCAAAATGTCAAGGTCAATAGGTAATATGTTTAATATGAAGTAAGAATTATATTCCTATTTTCTAGCACCTGCATCTGAATTCCTACTCATCAGCTGTACCTTTAATAGCTTAAGTCATCTGCCAGAACACATATTTTTAAACCATTAGATCATATGGAAAATGTATTTAAAATGAAGTCTTCTTATAATGTATTAATTAAATATTTATTGCTTTCTCAAACCACTGATCCTTGTTTTTATAGAGTCCATTTGTGAAAAACATATTTGAAGTGAAGACTACAGAATAGATAAAGATTGAATAAGTGGGACTAACATAGATTTAAATGTGTGTTTTAGTGAAATTGCTGTTTTCTAATCTCTGTTTCAGAAAGGAAATTTTCAGGTTGTCCATAATAAAATCTAAGTTCTAGGCATTGCCTCAGAAACTAAGGAGTTAACCAAACAGATTTCATCATGTCATATTAACCATTTTATATTGAATGAGTTGTCAGTAGACCTTAATGTATGTAATTGATGTATTTTTAATAAGATCATTGCCTATCTTCTACCTTAGTGACATTCAGAATCTTTTCTTTTACAGCCATTTCGTAGAGTGACGTTTTCTGTTGTGAGTCAGCCTCAGGACCCACATCAGGGGTCACTGCAGAGTTGCTATGACAGCGGGCTGGAGGAGTCAGAAACACCAAGCAGTAAGAGTTCATCAGGGCCAAGACTGGGTGCCCTTCCACTCCCAGAGGACAACTATGAGAGGACCACGCCGGATGGCAGTGTTGGTGAGGCAGAGCATATGGAAAATGGTAGGGGCAAACACAACATCCACACACATAACCACGCTAGCGAGCCGCAATAAGTAGCCTCGTGAAGGTCAGTCTAAACCCAAAATAAAACAGCTGACACTAAAACTCTTCTATTTGAAATCATAAATATTTCCTAAAATGAATGCCAAGTAAGGGAACATAACTGTATAGGTAAAATTCACCATTGTTAGACAGCCTGTCAGAAATAAACAGTTACAAATAAAAGTAGTATCTGTTATGAAAAAAACTAAATTAGTGCATAATATTGAAATGAGAGCAATTTGAGAAAGGTCATGTGTTATTGTTTTCTTCTATTCATTTTTGTCATGCAACTATTTCTTCAATTGCAACTGCCCAGTCTTAGTGAAAGAAAATGATAGTCAACACACTTGCTCTACTCTTTCTTCTCCTAGACATTTAGAAAAGCATTTCAAACCTTTCTTCAATGATAGCTGACATAGAGTCAAGGAGGATGGTATTATCTTGTTCTCGAAAGTATATTGTAAATGCTATTAGAATTCCCCTCTCACTTAAGTATACGATTTTTCTCACTTTTGTGTATGGAAATGGGAGGAAAACAAATCATAGTACTCTATTTCTCTTTCTGTTGTGAGATGATTCTCATAATTACCACAACAATTGGCCTTATGCACATTTTTCTCTAAGTTACTGAATTATGATTGCAAATAGTACCTATAAAAGTTTATGCATTCATTTATGTTCCCAAAGACAATGAGGTGATTTATTTTTTGGATTTCAGGTTCTGAGTAAATGCCTGAGGAATAGGTTTATGTCTAATAATGGAATGGTGAATTTCTTACTAAGTTTATTATTATTTCAAGTATAAAAAGAGATTATATGTAGGGGAAGTAAGGGGAATCACAAACATTTTATCTCATGAAAACTGGAAATTAATTTTTTTATCATTTCATCCCCCAAGTGAAATAAGACATTCTTTTTTGTTACATAGCAGTTTCTTTAGTGATGATATGCAAATAGAATATATTAATGCAGAAGAAACTGATTTATTTCTAGAGTTTTAACTATTAATATTAAAATTCAACACTAGAGAGTGATATATCAAAAGTGACCCCAAGTGAAATTATTGCTAAACTAAACTATGTTAAATAATTATTTTTCCACATTGCTATCTGGGTGAGAAGATATGATGTCAGGGTCTGATTCTTGATAATCCCTCCTGATTAATTTAGAATTTAAATGGCATTTTGCCTTATGGCTATAAAGGCATGCTTATCTGTGTGTATGGTGGTGTGTGCTTATGTTGATGGGAGTTTGATATGGTCTTTAAGAATTAACTTTAGTGTTTTTGAAATAAGTATAAACATATTTGATATGCATTGGAGTGCTGATGAATATGTGTTTAAGGCAAATATGTTTGAAATACTTTGCACAAAAGTAAAAATTAAATTTAAAACACTGTAATAATATTTTACACATGCACATGCAAGCATGCACACACCCAGGAAGGCAGCATTAATTGATTTAAGGTCATTACTATATGCATGATTACCTTTTGATGATATGATATAATTTTGTATTTAAAAGTACTTGTCTCACCATAAACAACAATGAATAATTAAGTATTTTTATGTCAGCTATATTAATAGAAAAACTTTGTATCATTGGCATTATGATCACACTTTAATATATATATTTTTTAGTTTAAGTGATTCAGTGCCTTCAAAATAAGAAGGAAATGATGAATAATAAACATCATTACAATATGACAAACATGTAATGACTACTTTTAATAAACATGCATGTCATGGAAAGTTAAACAGATGAGCCTGTTAAGAGACTAGAAAGTTTACTAAGAAACATTTCCCAAAGAAGGCTCTTAGTTATTTTTTATAACAATGTTTTTAGTCTTGGCAATAGTAAGGACCAACCTAATATGACTGATTTTTCCTGACTTTGTATGTGACTGACACTTGAAATTCAGAGTTTACATAACGATTTGTCATCTGCTAGCTGTGGTTCATGTTAGCCCTGCTCTGTAGGTAATGGCAGAAGGAGTAGAAGGAGATGTGATTCACTTTGGGTGATCCGAATGTAGCCCTTGACATTGAATAAGGGTTTGGTCAGGTCCAAGTTTTCAGACCAGCTATAAAGTGCAATTGTATTGCTTGCATTCTGGTAATTTCATTTTCAATTTCAATGGGTCATTCTGACATAAATAGAATTGGGATTGAAACCTGTCAAGTATTCATTTGTCATATTTAATTGGAATCCAGGTAATCGGCAGTGTCTTGCTTGGTTAGGTTTTAATCAGGATTTGTATTGGATTTTCCATGAAAATATCATTTTGGATGCTGTCCTAGTTTCTAATTATTATTACCTCAAATATTTTCCTTGAATTTTAACCTCTGTGAAACTATGCAGTTATAACATGGTTTTGGATAAACTTTCATTGTAAAATTTAGAAGATAATTTTCAGTACAATGATATACAACATTCTAACACTCCAATGTCATAATGTAACTGACTATAAGTTGGGGTAGCTAATAATAAAAATAAGTTTTCACAGATGCTACAGTAAGGATACAACTAATCACAGGAAAATGTAAGTAGATAGGCAGTGAAATGCATATGTTTTATAAAAGCCTTTGTCTGGTTTCTATACTTTAGCATAATAAATAAAATTCCATTAAGAAGGCGTGTGGGTTAACTCTTTATATAACAAGCTTTACCTTATATTCCAACCCACATTAGTGACAGATGCCAAATGAGATTTTCTCTTATTAGCTTAGGAAAGAAAATGCACTCTAAGATATAATTTCTTAAAACCTGATCTAATAATTAGAATGAGACCCACTAATTTGATAATTCCAAATTTGGGGTACTTACATTCATCCCATGGGTTTCTGGAAATAAATAATGGAAATTATTCCATTAAAAAATTTTTAAAACCCTTATGAATTATACATGAAAAAGATTACTAATATAGTTTTGTTCCTTTTACATTAATTATTATCAATATTATGATTATTCAAATTGATCCTTTGATAAGACTGGAGGAAACTGGTTATTTATTATTTTATTAAAATGCATTTAGTGGGATTAAATATTTTAAAATATGGAATTCAAGTTGGAAAGTTGAGTAATGATAGAATATTTGAAGATGAAATGTTAAAATAAAACATACAGTAATGAATTGATAATTGAAGTGAAAACCAAATATTAGGTTTGAAAACATGATCACATTAAGGGCAGGCATTGGCTGTGCAAAAGCTTGCCCTGCTCTTAATTACATAGGAGCCTTCACACTTTCCCTTGGAGTGGTATTTCACAATTTCTTTAGGTGTATTGTATATATTTATCATGGCCCCTGCTTTCATGCCATGGTCTCTTTACTCTTCCCAAAGTACCCCTTGAATCATACTTGCAAGGCTAGCTTGTCTTTACTATGTATCACTTGAGCAGATGTATTATTTAACAACTCAAATATAAAAAATGTTCCACTTGACCGCTAATTCCAGTTTTGCCATTAGGATTGTGTAGGTCACTTTCTCCATCTGGGTCTGCTTCTGGTCATCTAATAAGTCAATTAACTCAATTAACTCTAAAATCTTAGCCAGAACCAGCAATCTACAATTCTCTCCTCACATCCAATTACTCTCTGGAACACAAAGAGACCTTTGGGTCTCTTAGCGAGACGGTGAGCAAATTTGATAATATGTGTTACTGTGGGCAGGGCAAAGGTAATTCTAGGGCCTTCCTTGCGACCCATATACCATATGCATCTTATAGAAGATAAATCAAAGTAGTGGACTGAGTGCAGTGGTGTGATTTCTAGGCTTATGGGGGGCAAGGTTGGTACCACTAGAAGCCAAGGGGGGAGGTAGTTTTGGAGCCTCCTTCAAATCACACTGTACAAGAGCCACCTGTAGATCTGATCTAGCCCTGGGTGCAATATCCTTAAAATATATTAATTATGATTAAATGATCTCTTGGTAGAATAAGCATATTTACTTTTTTTTATTTTCTTGACAGTGAGTGTAAACTTTGGTTAGAGAAGAGTGATCAAAGGGTAGAAAACAGTATGTATTTTTCTCGAGGTAAAATTACAAGTAGTGTAACATAAAATTAAATAAAACCCGGAAAATAGCAGTTGATCCATGGGGAAAATTTAAAAAAAAGTTAAATTTGGCCACTCTAAATGCCTAAATAATTTTATGCCTCTTGATTCTCTCAGATATTTAAGAAATAATTTTGATTTGTATATATTGATATTTTTTAATTCCCCACTTCCAAACTTTCTCTGCTTTTTCAGACTTATATAAACTATACTTAATTGTTGCTTCATTCATTCTCACTCCACATGCTTTAACTAGTGTTTAGATTACATTGCCCTTGAAGGTTAAAACATGTTACAGTCCACCACAAACCCATTTGGTATCTGCCATGCCCTTTTCACATTGCTTTCAGAAATAAATGGCTGTCTACATGAAATATTATTTGAGAATGAACCACCATTTTTATATGACTATAGGTAATGAGCATATAGATGAAAGTCATATCTTTTTGTGAGATAAAGGGACTTCTCTCTCTCTAGTTTCCTCCCACCCACCCAATTTTCAGCAGTCACCTGTGAGCTACTGTCATCCAGTCACTGTAGGCTTGTGCTGTTTTCAATTTAGATTGAAATATGTAGCACGGCTGCCTCTCTGTCTTCCCAGAGATGCTCATGTGCTTGTTAATGTTGCAAACATAATACCACGAAACAAATGCTCTGCAACATTTCTTCTGGAGGAAGAGACTAACGCTCCTTGGAAAGAATTCATTTTCGTGGCTCTGCATGTCACCATGTCACTCTAGTTGCCGGTGTCTGACGGAGGCTGCACCTTCTCCTTTCCCAGCCACCTGTGAAATGGCCCCTATTCCCCAAGTGTCCTCCAGAAGTCCACATGCCCTCACTCAGGAGATCCCTGCTTACTCCCACTTCTTCAGCTTTATTAGAGAGGAGCAGTGATTATAAA